GGCAGGAAAGTTTCCACAAGAGAGAAGTACGAGAAAGGAAACTGTTAGCATAAAACTTACTGTTACATCTAGCCAAGTAAACTGCAAATTGATGAGACATCGTCGCCAGTGTAGTAGTTCGCTTAAATCCATATATACATATATATATATATGTGTGTGTGTGTGTGTGTGTGTGTGCAGGTATGTAGAAAAATAGGAAAGAACACGTTAGGTGAATAATCCAGGGTTCTTTAGTATTTTTGTTTTTATTTTTAAAAAACAGTGCTCCACACAGAAGTAGAGCTTAAGTTATAATTATTTTTTTTTAAATAGGATTCCTTCGCTACATAACAGTTCTCGTGTTTCAAAAACGAGAGCCGAAACCATCAATATAATTATTAAAATTAAATTGAATTAAAGTAACAAGCCCTGTTTCATCCTCAAGCGAAAATTTAAGATTACTAGGATGTAGCGAAGGAATCATATTTAAAAAGAATAAATTATATTATATATGCCGTAACGTTTGTCTTTTGACGACTTCATAAGGAGGTACGCTGGTGTAGTGGATAGCGGCTAGGATTGAGAGCCGAGTTCGAATTCCAAGTTCGAATTCGTGCTAATACCCCTGAGAAAGGTATTAATCCTCTTCTTCTCCCTCCAGCTGTGGGTAAAGAGCAGGACAGACTCGGATGGCAACTGGTCTAGGAGAAGGACAACTCTGAATCCCAAACCTGCGGTGGGTCGTTTGGGGACCTTGTGGCACGTGGTGTACCAAGTCTCTGTATTCGGCCCTTCAAAAAGTGTGGTTGGTTCTGTACAAAGCCTTCATATCATATGTGCTGGTGTTTGGGCTTTCGGTTCCTAGGAATTGAGCAGCTGCTTGACCCTTATACGTAGAATACGATGAGAGAGTCCACCATATGTATGTATGTGTGTGTGTTTGTTTTGTTTTTTGTTTTTTTGTTTTTTTTTTGTGTGTGTGTGTGTGTGTGTGTGTGTGTGTGTGTGTGTGTGTGTGTGTGTGTGTGTGTGTGTGTGTATTATATTTACAATATAAAAACCTAGGCCACTCAAGGCTTGCCATTCTGGTGAAAACAAACTTTTACCATTATACTTAACAACTTACGATGATTTTCATTTATGCAGTCTCTCCAAAAAGTAATACCTCAGTTTAAAATTGCATTTTTAAAACTGAAAAGTCTTTCTTAAAGCTTTAATTTTAGTTTTAATTCTAAGCTAAAAGATAAAATTCAATATTCCTAACTTTAGTGCATTTGAAAACGAATTTAAATTGATCGGAATCTCTTTTTCTCCTTATCAGTAAAATTTATAAATTCGTCCATATTGACAAATTTTTTAACATAAAATAAATCTTGTTAGTAAAAAATATTTCAAAAGTAAAATATACTTGCTGAAATGT